CCGCTGCCCCATCCCAGAACTCGAGGCCCATCCCGTCATTGAGATCCGTGCAGATCGGCGGGGTGCACCGTGCTGGAAGGGAGTCCAATATGTCCTGTTGCCACTTTCTTAAGATGCCCGCTGCTCGGAAGTAGGCGCCCTTCGTTCGTCGGGAAGCTGGCTGCGGGGGGAAGTAGACGCTCGCGAGACAAATGTCGAGGGCCCCCTTCTTGACCCCGGCAGCGATCCCCCGACCTAGCGCCTGCCAGGGCCCCCCCCTAGCCCCCTCTGGACATGTCGCTCTGTGGCCCGATGCGGAAGTGCAATCGCACACCCGCGAAAATTTTTGGAACACGGAGCCTTGCCGTCGGGGTGCTCGAGCGCCAGCCTGCTCAGCGCGGTCCTCTTGAGCGGGCCCCCCTTCGCGTCGCGGTCGGAGCCGTTCTCGGCCCCTGCCAAGCCGGCCGCGTCGAAGTTCCCCACCTCCCGGGCGATCTCCCCCATCCAAAAGAACCACGCCGAAAGCGGGTTGGAGCCCGAGAATCGCAACATAGGGAGAAGCCCCGCCGCGGGCTGCGAGCGCGGCGGGGGCGGCGCGGCTTCCGTGGCGAAATTTCATGGCGAGGTGCGGGTCCCGCCCGAAACAGCAACCCGAGCTTCGGGGGCTGGATGAGGAGGGGGGGGGCGAGGAGGAGGACCAGCAGCCCTACGCTCACGCGGCTAATCAAGGCACCCCCCCCCTGATGGCCCACAACCATGAGGCTGGCGCCTCCCGACGGGGCCGGCCTCGCCGCGGCATTCAGCGCGCCTGCCTCCCCAGCGCGCACGCTGCATCCATTTTTGCTCCATGACAGGCGACTCCTTACGCCGGCTGGTACCTCCCAACGCCTTGCCTTGGCACTAAACATTTTTGTAACCAAAAAGTACGCACCCACCGATGAGATCGGCAGCATCGCAGCTGGACGCACCATCTCCGGACCCGCATCCGACGGCAGCAGCGAGGGGCCCTGCGGGTCAAACGAGCGACGGCAACGTCAGGAACATCAGCGCTACGCAGCGGGTCCCCGACGGGCTTCCCCACCCAAAAAGCTGCGCTGCACTGCCCGACGCGTCGCGCAAAGCCTCGGCAGACGTGAGCGGCAACAGTGGAAGATGCGCTATCAGTGGGTCCCTCAGGGGAATTCTTGCCCACCAGCAGTGCTGCTGCAGACAGCTGGCGCGCGTCGATAGATGGCCTCGCCAACCTCCAACCTTCCTTTCCCCCTGGTTTCCTTCTCGCGCCCCCCCCCCCCCTCCCGCTGCATCTCGCCGACCCGCTTCGCCCCCGCCCCCGCGGCGGCGGGGCGCGCGGGGCGATCTGTCATCGGCGGGGGGATTGGCGAGGGAACTCGCCGCAGGCCGCCCCGGCAAGTGCCCAGGCGGCCGCGGCAGATGGCAGCGAGCCACCCACTGCCCCCGACAGGGGGCCCTTCGCACGCGCGGCCTTCCTTTTTTCCCGAGCGCCATAGCGACGAATATTGGGGTCGATGCGAGCAGAGACCTCTCGGCAACTAGTATCTCGGCATTGGCCAGGCGTTCGCTGCGCAATACTCCAAACCCCATATTTCCCCATGTCATCGGCCATGCCATCCATATTCCACCTGTGGCCTAGCCTGCTACACTGGCAATCATTCTTGCTTCAGCCTCACAGTAGCTGAGCTCGACATGCGGTCGCATTCCCTCGCCGACCCTTGCCGGCCGCCAGCGGCCGCGGCCCCCGACCGCCTGCCAACCATAGCGGGGAGGGAATGTTAAGTCGCACCGCGGGGGGGGAGGGGGCGGGGGGGGGCGGGGTCGGGTCGACGACGCGCGCGCGCGCGCGGGGCGCCGCCGCCGCGGAGGGCGCGGGTCGACAACGCGCGCGGGGCGCCGCCGCCACGGACGGCACAAACCACCCCCACGCACAGTGGTACCCTCCCATGCGGCCACCACCCCTGCGATCTGGGCGGCATCCTACTCCTGCCTCGGCAGGGGGGGGTACCAGGCGCGAGGGTGATGGGCGCTTTGGGGGGTTCCTATGCGCTGGAGGCGAGGCCTTTACGCCGTCCACCTTGGCGAGAATGGCCCCGTCATTCTCGGCGAGAGTGGGGGGCCCCGCCGCCGCCTGGAGGGCGCAAACCCCCCGCCCGCTCGCCCCCCCCCCCCCCGCCCCCCCCCCCCCCCCCCCAGGCGGCCCCAGGGGCAATGTGCTGGGAACCTTGCGCCTGTTTCTTCAAGTGAGTGATCCAGCCTTTCACCCCAAGGAAGTGCGCGGGGGGGTCCTACGAGCTGGGGGCGGCGCCATTGCGCCCCCCCTGCCTGCGAGAGTGGGTGGGTGGGTGGGGGGGGGCGCCGCCGCGGCCGCCCGCCCGCTGCCAACCGCTGCTGCAACCTCGCCGCGCCCACCTCCCCGTTTCAACTTCGGTATCTCGGCTTGTCTCCTACGCTCTGTGTCAGCCGCCAGCGCCCCCCCTCATTCACGCCGTTCTCAGACTGCCTAAGCGCCCCGGCGGGGGGGGGGCTCGGGGCGCCCTCTGGGGCGGTCGGCGGCCCAAGAGGGCCACGCGACCCGCAAAGGGGGGGGGGGGGCGCCAGGCCCTAGGGCCTTTGTAGCTTGCCGTCGCTATTCTCACCGCCACTACGCCCGCTGCTCCATCTTTCCTTATTCCCTCATCGGTTATGATTGATGATGTTGATGGGATGCCTCTCCTGTCTGTCCCTCCTCCCTGTCTGTCTGCCCTGTTGTCATCACAATTTAATGCTCTACTCCCCCAGGGCTGGCTTCTGGCCAACCCCGCGGGAAGCGGCAGCGCGCGGGGCACGCCGATGCCACCAGGGAATCAGGATGAGGAGGAGCAGGAGGAGAAGCAGGAAGATAATAATGAGGATGAGGGCGAGGAGGGGGAGGAGGGTGAGGATGAGGAGGAGGAGCCGGGGAACCCAAGAAGAGACGCGAAGAGGGCAAGCGGACAAGAAGCGAGAAGAGGGCAAATAGTTCGCCCCCATCGCCTCGCCCGCACCCGCCGCGCGTCTCTCGGAAGTCAGCAGGAGACGCGCTCCAAGTGGCTGGACTCGTAGGCGCGCTTCAAATAGCAGCACTCGTTGATGATGGTGAAGCTCTCCGAGGAGCTGAGCTCGGATATGAATATGAAGGCGACGGTGCTCACGGCGTCGCAGCTGCCACGGAGTCCACCCAGTGCAGATGTTCCGCGATGGACCCGAACATGTGCGGCAATGGCTTGGTTGTGAAGGCGTACGTGTCCAGCAGCTTCGAGAACTCGTCGACGCAGCTGTCGGACTGGATGCTTGCAATGAGATCATCGAACTCGCCGTTCGGGGGATGCGGCGGGCCCAGGGGGGCCTCGAAGTTCCTGTCTGCGTGGTTCGCGCGGCGGACCTCCACAGAGGCAATCCGCAGCTCGATTTCATCGAACTTGTCATGGAACTGGTCGCTGTACATCGCGAGGTCCGACTGCCGCTGAGACCCGAGCCGACTGAAATCCATTTCCATCTCGCTCGTGCGGTTGTGCGCTCCAGTGAGGGACTGCATGGTGTCGGTGATGGTCCTCGTGGCTTCCATGTTGTTGTCCGACTGCCGCAGAGACTTGAGCCGATCAGTGTCCGTTTCCATCACGCTGATGCTCTTGTGCGCTGCAGCAATGGATGAGTGGGTGGTCGCAAGCAATCCGTTCGTGTTGATGGCGATGGCTTTCAGAGCTTCCGTGCTGTTTTCCGGGAGCATCTTGGTCATGTTGGAGAGCTGCGCCGCGAGCAGCTCGAGCGCAACGAACTTATTCGTGGCCCCGAAGAGAGTCACGTCGATCTTCGCCGTGAGCGAGTGCGCGGATGCCAGGATGGATTCGTCCAGCTCGGTGCGCGTGACGAGGGCGCGCATGGTGCCGTGGATCTTTTCATCAATCTGCTTGGCCATCGAACGCTCGACGCCCCCCACCTTTTCCGTGATCATGGAGCTCAGCGAATTCTTGCGTGCGGAGTTGGTCTCGTCGTCCGTCCAGGCGTCGCACGTAGCAGGCGAGGAGGGCGAACCGTGCGACAACAGTCTTGAGCCAGAGCGGCGCGAGCACCCCGACGACAAGGAAGCAGAGGCCAGATCTGTGGAGACGACCTGGTGCGTGGAGGCGACTGTGGAGTCGGAGGTGAGTTCGGAGAAGTGCGCGTTGAAGCTGTCGGCCCAGAGGATGCGCTTCACAGGCGTGTTGTTCTTCTTGTCAGCGTTGTGCAAGACAGCGCCTCCATGTGCAGCTGCAGGACGCGGGCCAGGGTGAGTGTCGGGCGGAAGGACACCACCTCCGAGGTCATCATTGTCATGTAGGGCTGCCCACGCCGAACGTGTTGTTGCTATGGGCGCTGCGGGGTGGTAGTGCTTGGCGCAGTCAGCGCGCTCGAGAACGCGCCTCGCGGACTTGTAGTCGGTCTGGCCCAGCGCGCCCAGCTTCCACGAGCGGTAGGCGGAGATCTTGCCCGACGTCGTGGACTCGCCGCGCTTCCAATCCAGGCAGCGGTGAAGCTCTTTGCCTCGAACCATCGCCTTGACCGCGATGTGGTCCTCGGCGGCGCACTCCACGAAGCGGCGACCCGGGCCGGAGTGGACAGCACGATAATGAGCGTCACGAAGGCGTCGTCGTTCTTGTTCGGCTGTGAGCGTGCGCTGCTGGGTGAGAGCCTGTACGTAAGAGCGGCAACCAATCATACCGCGTGTAGCCCACGCGCACGGTGGGGAGGAAGAACGAGCAGGTAGATGAAGTCCCACTCCAAGGTGGCAGAAGAACGCGATGCAGAGGTGCGTCAGCATCCAGCAGGCGCCATGGCGAGGAAGCCCGCTCGCGGCGGGAGCACGCGGCCAGATGGGGAGCGCGGGTCCCAGGAGCTCTTGAGCCAAAATGGCTTGAGCCAAAATGGCTTGAGCCAAAATGGCTGGAGCCAAAATGGCTACGGAAGGAGGAGGAGGAGGAGGAGGAGGAGGAGGACACCGCCGCGGAGGCCTGCATCCCCACCACGATGCCCCTGGGCGAGGGCCCCTCGGGCGGGCTGCGGCTGCGCCGCCGCAGCTTCTGCGCGCCCTCGCCGGTGCGCTCGCGCCTCCTGCAGGTCGTCGTCGTCGTCGTCGTCGTCGAGGTCGTCGTCGTCGTCGTCGTCGTCGTCGTCGTCGTAGTGGTCGTCGTCGTCGTCGTCCTTTGCCCGACAGGGAGGAGCAGAAGGGGAGGAGGATCAAAGCAAACCCAAGTTGCAGTAACGATGCTGCTCCGCATAGACCTGTTATTCGGGCGAGAGCCCCGTTGTGAAAATGAACTGCACCATCTAGCGAATAGCAAAACATGCGAACATATACGACCGTAAAGCTCAACGAGGCGTCAAGCGAGATCCCCGTACTGGAAAAACGCGCCAACATGTGTAACTGTTGCTGGCTATGACCTTCGAGGAAGACTCAGGACAGAGAGCACCCATTTTGAAAAAGGACCGCCCTTCATCTGGGCAGCCCTTACACATGTTCCACTTCATGGTTTTCTAAGACAACGGGCGTCCTTAGCGAGTGCCCAAGTTTGGGAAGAACCTGTCACTCATCCTGCAAATGTCGTAGAAACTGACAGCGACTGCGCGCAAAGCTGATGCTAAAACTCCAGTTTGACAAGAAATCAGCCACACATCCTTGCAGCTATTGCGCCCGTGACAAACGAATGCCCGCGGCGCATAGGTGAGAACCGCATTTTGAAAACGAGCCGCCCTCCATCCGTAAAACCCTCGCCAGCTTTGAAAACGAACGCGTGTGGCGGAAAAGGCGAGAATCCCATTTTGAAAATCACCTTACTCCATCCGTGTAGCTGCAGCATGTGTTTAAGACGAATATGCGCGGCGCAGACCAAAGCACATTCGAAAACCCCGACCCCCACCATCCGTGCAACGTTAGCATCATTGAAAAAGTAATGTGCGCGGCGCTGGTGCGAGAACCACACTTTGAAGTCCACTACCCTCTCCATCCGTACATCTGTTGCACAATTCAACCCTCACGTTCAGAAATGGCGAGGAGATCTGGCATGAAACACCCTGCCCGCCCCAACGATAGGTCAGGGGGCGCGACGGACAGGGATGAGCTGTTTGAGAATGGACAAAATCTAGGAGGAGGATGTGTAGGAAGAGGGGGAGGGGGGAAGAGGAATTCGAAAAGGAGAACGAAGAAGGGGCGCTGGGTTGAGAGGCCAACTATATGCTTTCGGGCCCGTCTTGGAACGCGCTCTGGCCAGGATCTCGGTTAGGATCCAGCCGTGGCCACGATGGCGCCCCAAGAACCACGAAAAAAGTGCTGTGGCAACTCACGGGGGCGTCCCATGCAATGTTGCTGGCTTGTGCAAATCGACGCGAAGTGGCGCTAACCAGCAGTACGTTCCCAAAGCAGTGATTGCACCTGGGGTCTCTTACTTCTGCTCTAAAGAAGTGGGCCTGCGGGCTGGTTTAGCGGTTCCGTGCCTGCCGTCGCCGCCCCGTCGCCGCCTCGCCGCGGCTCGTCGTCTGGGCCTGCGGGGCGGTCTGGCGGCTACGTGGCCGCCGTCGCCGCCTCGTTGCCGTCGTCGCCGCCCCGTCGCCCGCCTTGCATATATTCGCCATTCTAAAAAGAAGCTGGGACGCCCCCCCCCTCGGATTTACGGTTCCCACTGGGGTAATATAGTTCTTGTATGATTATGCCCCTTTTTCTCTCTAAATGTGAATTCGCGTCATACCATTCCAAATGGTCCCGTTATCGACACCCCACCCATCATCCTTGCCCAGAGTACAATGCGCGCAATCGGTATCAACATCCAAAACTGCACATACATCATTTGCACGCGCATGCCTAAATTTTTCCAACATATCAGGCTCCGCACAGATGTCAATATCGAGGCTCCCGAAACCAAAAACAACAATAGTGAAGCAAATTGTTGTTCAAAAAAGTCTGCGCGCGCACTCTTTTGAATTCTCGCGAAAACAATCGGCTTCTCACCATATCTCACCATTCTCGTCAATTGAGACGAAGCGGATCTCTCGCGCGCGTGTCGAATCTTTCGAACGCCCTTTCGCGTTTGCTGAGGGGGGGGGGGGGGGGGCACAATCCTTGTCAGCACCCCTGGCCCCGCCCCGACGCCTCGAGGAAACGGAGCGGGGAAGGGCGAGGGGCGGGATCCGAAACAATAATTTTCTACAACAACAACAACAACACCAGAGAAAATCCTAATGAATTGATGATTTGAAAACTATTACTCTGGATGTTGAGATCGATTGTGAGATCGATAATGAGATCGAAAATGGAATCGATCGTGAGGACGATTGTAAGGTCGACGCTGAGACCGAGAGTGACATCGATTCAATGAAATCGATAGTGAGGTCGATCGTTAGATCGTTCATGCGATCTCTGGAGAGATCACTTGTGAGATCGATAGTGGTATCGACTTCGAAATCGACTTTGAGATCGATAGAGAATTGGGTAATGAGATCGATGGTGAGACCGATCGGTAACAAGATCGACTAAAAACCCGGAAACCCGGGAACCCCGCCGCCCTCCGAAATCGGCCCAGAACCTGGAAGCCGGAACCGGGAACTCGGGAACCGGGAACCCAGCGTGCGACAAAAATCGGCGGGAAACTTCCGCCAAATCCGCCAATCTCCGCGAGGACCCCCTTCAGTGCAAGCGCTGATTGGGGAAAAACACGATGCGGGCCACTCGCGCACATCAGCCGCGCGCGCATGTCGAAATCCTTGCAAAACCTTCATCATCGACACGTGGACACAATCATCATCCTCGTCGGCATGATCAGCACCGACACCATTTCTGGCCTCGCCGTTTTCACCGTCATCATCTTCACCAGCATCGCTAGTACCATCATCGAGTCTGCCGTTGTTGACGTGGCCATGATACCGCGCCCGCCCGAGTCACCGAGTCGCACTGCAGTACCAGCGCGTCAGCGCGGCCGTCGAGACGCCCTCGGAAGTACCCGGCGGGCATCACCACCGCGGCCGCGTCGGTCGCGCTAGACAGCCGGCCGCTCTGCGCGCGAGCCTGCGCGCGCTCGCGCGGCCGCAGCGAGGCGCCAGCCAGCGCCAAGCAGACGTCACAATCGCCGCCGTATGGGTTATACAAACCAAATTGCGGGCGGGCGCGTGGGGTGACTGCGCGAGCAATGGACAGCTCACTAATGCGCATTGATGAGTTGCGCCGCGTAGGACTTCCTTTCTAAGAAGAAATTGGGATCTACTCCCCGTCCCGCCCCTCGGGGCTATCGGCCCTCCCTGGGATGATAAGCTTCGCGCGTGATACTGCCCCGACGTTCATTTCGAACATAAACTCATAGCACCCCAGCAATACCCCTGATCGACTCCCCCTCATCCCCGTCAAATAATGCGCGCGTCGTCGCGCGCGTGCCGCAATAATTCGAGCGCATCAAATCTCGTTCGGGTTTCAAACATTTTTGAGGTCCCCCAACGCATAATCAACTGATGGTTGTGTACTAGCTTAGTACGAAAATCACCAACGACAGCAGCGCCAGGGCGCCTCACGAGCGGGGGGGGCGGAGAACCTTCTTTTCACGCGGCGCAGAATTGGATCAGCCGTTCCGCTGTCCGCCGCCCACAACTGCAACGCCGCGGGGCCCCAAACCCCCGCCCTTAAAAAAGCAAGCGCAAGCATGCCCGCGCGGCCGCCGCGCACTCGGGGCACCCGTGCGCGCGAAGGGCGCGGGGCGGCCCCCGAAGAAAAAACACGGAGTGAAGGAGAGGCGCGCCGCAGCGGGGGTAGAGCGCGAGGGGCAGCGGGGCAGGCGGCCGTTAGCAGGCGCGCCAGGGGCGCGTCGCGGGCGGGCCGAAAAAACGCACGCAAGGCCGGCCGAAGCGCCGGCAAGCCCCGCTCGACCCAATGCGCCGAGGGATGGCGGGGCCGCCCGAGGAGCGCCTGGACGGGGCGCCGCGACTCCGCCGCGGCTGGCCCGTCGAAGGGGGGCGGGCAGGCAAAGCCCGCAACCCGGGTGCCCAATGCCGCTCCTTCCCCGAAAAGGGGGAGGGGTTGTCGCGCGGGGCAGCCCAGGCCGGGGCAGGCGCGGGGTGCGCCGCCCGCTCGGTCTTCGCCATCCCCTGCGGTTCTCCGCGGGCTTCCGCACCCGGCGCTGCCTCTCCGGGGGAGCGGAAGTGCGCGATCATCACGGCCCGTGATCGGCTCCACGCGCAGGGGGCCGCTGCCCCGAGGGGGCGCCTCCATGGGCGTCCAAGGGCTCCTCGTCCGGAGCCAGCTCACCAGCCAATCCACTAGGCGATCCGAGAGCCTCTCCCGCTCGAGGGCGCATGGGGCTCTCGTTAGCTAATCTCCGCACCTCGCTCGGGCATCCTTCCTGCGGGTCGAAATCGCCCGCGTTGACAAGCTGTTCCGTGGCCTCCCAAGATGCATCGTGCGTTGGGGATTGGGGCCAATTCGTGAGCGCGTTCCCGCGGGGGTCCTCGCCCGCGCCTCCGTCGGAGGGGTCGCTGGCGCCGGGCGACGGCGGGGGCGCGGCCGCTCCCCCGAGCGGGCGGCTGCCCCCCAATCCGCGGCGGGGGGCGCCCCGCGCGGGGGCGCCTGGGTGCTGGGGCCCGGGCGAGGCAAGGCCGCGAGCTCGCCTCTTCCCGCGGTGCCTTCCGTGGCTCGGCCTCGCGCGGGGCCGCCGCCTGCCGGCGCCGGCTCGCGGACCGCGCCGAAAAAGACCCGCCTGGGCCCGACCCGTCCACGCGCGGCCCCCGGGCCCCTCCCACCCGGTCCCCGGGCGCGTGATGCGCGCCCGCGCAGGGGGTGAACCGCGAGGCCCGCGGCCCGCTGGAACGCCCGCGGAACAAACGGGACGAACTGCACGCGTGCGCGTCGTCGCGCGCATACATGCATGCCGAAATCCTTCACAAACCTTCGGTCTCGGAAGGGTTTCAAAATCGAGTGTCCAAAGAACAAACAAAACACATGGTCTCGCAACACGGGTTTTCAACAAAAGCGCGTGCGCGCGCTCTTGCGTCGTCGTCGTCGTCGTCGTCGTCGCCGTCCTCCCTCCTCCCTCGTCGTCGTCGTCGTCGCCGTTGTCGTCCTCTGTCTTTCCTCGTCGTCGTCGTCGTCGTCCTCTTTGGCGTCGTCGTCGTTTCCGTCGTCGTTGTCGCCGTGGTCGTCCTTCCTCCTCCCTCGTCTTCGTCGTCGTCCGTCGTCGGCGTCTCGCTGTCGTCCCTCCTATTTCGTCGCCGTCGTCTTCGTCGTCGTCGTCGTTGTCGCCGTCATTCCTCCTCCTTCGTCGTTGTCGCCGTCGTCGTCCTCCCTCCTCCCTCGTCGTTGTCGTCTTCGTTGGTGACGTCGTCGTCGTCGTCTTCGTCGTCGTCGTCATCGTCGTCGTCGGCGTCGGCGTCGGCGTCGGCGTCGGCGGCGTCGTCGTCGTCGTCATCGTCGTCGTCATCGGCGTCGGCGTCGTCGTCGTCATCGGCGTCGGCGTCGGCGTCGTCGTCGTCGTCGGTGTCGTCGTCGTCGTTGTCGTCGTTGTCGTCGTCGTCAAAGTGGTCGTCGATGTCGTCGTAGCCGTCGTCGGTGTCGTCGTCGTCGTCGTTGTCGCTGTCGTTGTCGGCGTCGGTGTCGCTGCCAAGTGCAATTTGTTACCTACCGTCACGATCTTAGGAGGTCATGCTACCAAGTTGCGGGTGGAGGGTGGGATGTTTGCACAAGCAGTCGAGAGGACAGCTTCAAGAAGTGAGTTGCACAACGTAGATCGCACCAAATAGATTGCTCGAAACACACCATTTGGGGTCCACGCTGGCTAACATCGACGCTAATCGACGCTAAATCGGCGCTATTCCATCGACTACTGGACGCTAATCGACGCTAGTGCGCTTGAAATGCGGACTTGCGATGGTATCTACCATGATGTGCTGGCGAAGAACACCTGAAAACCTCAACCCTCGAAACATCCGGCACCCAACTTGGCACGCCCGCAATGGGTACGGAAAATATGGGTATGATACCCAACAGCAGTTGTTGTCCAAAAGCCCACCGCGGCCGCTGTTGGGCAGGAGAGCGTGCGCCTCAGGCGCCACAGACAGCGAATCCTGTCCAAAATGAAGAGGAACTGCAGTTGGTCTTCGTGCCCATTGATCCTCGTCGTCTGGTTTTCAAGTCATAACTCGGGACTCTGGCGGCCGTCCGTTCGGGAAGATTCCAGAACCCCTGTAATGCTGTCGGCGAGGCGCAGCCGCTAGAAGGCATCCCGCGGCCAGAAAGCCGACCAGAACCGTCCGAAAACGTTGAACCACTTCCATCGTTCCGCGCGTCCGATCTTTCCGTATCCATCTCGGCCGTGCAGACCAGCGGGGGGGCCGGCCCCGATCCTGCCAGCGGCGGAGCGGAATCCAGCGCTCGACGGTGGGGCGCCCTCGTACATGGGCGGTGCGGCGTTCCAGCCGATGCCGGCCGCCTGCATGCACTGGCCGCACGTGCCCCAATTGCACTCCTGACGGCAAAAGGATATTGGAGCTGTCTCGGGGTCTGAGGTGGCCCAGCACTGGGCAGGTTCCAGGTTCTGGAATCGGGGATGTTTTTTGCCGTTTCGGCCTCCAGAGCCGCTTTCGGGCATCGGGACCGTGGAAAACTGAGATTTTGAACGGATTTGGCCTCATCCCTCTCCTCTTGATCGATGTTTTCTGAAGCCCCAACCAGTTAATACCCCCTGGCCACCTCCAAAAGGATGGGCCCGTCGAGGGAGCCTAGACATTTTCCCCCATGGTCATATATATATATATATATATATACATACATACATATACATATATACATATATATATATGTATATATAAATACACATTCTATATACACATGATATATTATATATACATTACACATTTCGCGCGTGGGGGCACGGCTCCAAGCAGGTGGACTCCCTTTCCCAAACCTTGCAGGCGTCCCACACAGCGCGGGCCGCAGGCCTTACAAGAGCCCTCGCAAAGCCAGCCCAGACGGCCCCGGGACCCCCCTGGAGAGCCCCACCACCGCCGTGGAGGGTCTGAGCTGCAAGCCCAGAGCCTCCGTCGCAAGGTGTCTACGTGTAGATCCGTCACCGTGCCTGCCAGGCATGAGCTGGGATGTTCTCAGGTTCCTTGCCCACTCCCCTGAGCCTCAGCCCCCAACCCTGCGGATCTCTTACAGGGCCCAAGCCCCAACTTCTCAAATTCACCCAAAAGAACAAGACCCAACGCGCCCAGAGCGTCTTCCCGCATCATCTTCTCGGGCCCAAAACGGCTCAAGGAGGGGCCAAAAGGCCTCCGACCTTCGACCAAGGCACGGTGGCGGGATGGGCCGAAAGCCATCCGATCTGCCGCACCCTTTGGCTTGCCATAGGGGCGCACGGGGGGGCACGGAAGGCCAAATGTTGGTCTATTTTGCACTCTTTGGTCAAAGGTTCACAAGGGCCTTCGGTCCAACCCGCTGGCCACCCGGAAAAGCCTGCAAGCGCACATGCAAGTAGGGGAAGCACATGGAAAACGTTCCCACGACCCTCAAGAGAGCTCCAGATGACACCAAAAACTCTCCAAAATGGCCCGCGAAGTCGAAAGTGTCCTTCCCGTTGGAGATACATCATGTGACAGAAATGGATGTCTAGTAAGAGGGATGGATACAGGATGTAGGATGGGAATGTTTCCAACAGATAGCGAACACAGTGCCTGGTCACATAGGGTGCGCGTGCCTTTGGCACCCGAATTCAAATGGCGGATGCATGATACTATGTAAACTTACCCTGAAACGGCCTTGCAGAATTCCCTAAACATTGGGAGGGGAGGAAACATATAGGCGCGCATCTCCTGCAAACTACACTGACAACAACTGAAAGGAAAGGCGTCCAGTTCATGGCCTGGAGCGCGCCGCTCAAAGGACGCGACGTCCTTAACAATTGCACGATGATGTGATACACACATCTGTATATGCGTGTTTACACATACAAGACTGCATTGGCGCTTCGCGCTATGCACCTTGGTCCTTGATGTTTGGCATGCAGGCGGGAGGGCAGGAAGGTTACACTGACAGTTTAACGATAATTCGTTACCTTGTCCGACATCGTCGTTGTGAAAATGTGATTCGCTATTTTTCCAGCATGCTTCCTCTTCCTCTTCCTTATTCTCGCCCTACCCTGCAAATTTGTCCCCATCCTCCGTAGCTCTTCTTGCGGAGGCTTTTCCCTGGAGGGCCTCCTGGGTGCCTCACCAAAACGTTCAAGGGTTTCTTGGGGCCTTCTGGTTGCCTCCTGGGTTCCTTCAAGGGGCCTCTGGGGGCTTCCTCGGGTCACCCTGCTTCCAACCACGGTTTCCCTGAACGACTGGGTCACGATTTGGAAAGCTTCAGGGGGCGTCTCGTGGGCCATCTTAGGCCGTCGTGGGGCTCTCTTCGCGCCCTGTTGGGGCCGTCTTGGGGTTTTTTTGGGTTGCCTGGGAACCCCCTGGGACAGTTTGGGGGCGATTGCGTGGCCTCCTGGGTGGTCTCGGAAGCCTGGGAGACCAAGCGCCAGGACCAGGTCCGAGTGGGTGTCCGCATTTATTGGGCGGCGCTCCGGGCCCTCGACCTCCTCCGCGGCCAGGGTCTCGTCGCCGCTGCCGATCTCGTAGAACGCCGCCCGCGTCTCAAGGTAAAAGGCGCCGGGGTCAGGCGCCGAAGAGCCCCGTCGCCGCCTTCGTCGCCCTTGACCGAATCTCCTTCAGTGTCTCTGTCCGTCGAGTCGCTGCCGCTGTCCTCTCCGTCGGCGGGGGCCCCCTCGCCCGTGGCATCGTCGGCGTCGCGCCCAGCTCCACCCCACGGGTCTATGATGATATGACCCTTCTCATCGCGCTCGGACTTCACCCAGTCCCTACCGGGGGAATCGTTCATCGCGAGCGCATCAGATCGGCAGTCCTAGATCAAGCCCCACTCTTCCACGCAGGGTCGCGCGATCAGCAGCGGCGCCCAACCTTCGACGAGATGGATCGCGATCTGCTTCTTGACGCCGAACGGCCGCGCCGTCAGTGTCGCCGCTTGCGTGGCCTCCAGCGCCTTGCCGCATGCGAATCGGAAGCGTCGATTACTCCTGCCGCGCTCGACCTGCCTCTTGCAGCAACTGCCCCGAGCGAAGTAGCTCCCGCCACTGCGCCCACGCCTTGTCGCCGATGACGGGCCGCGCGGCACCTCCATCGCTGATGCCTCAGCAGGAGTACCTCCTCGGTCGAATTTGCGCATTCCAGCGTCTCAGCGCCCTCCACCACGCGCGCCTCGTCTTCGGGCTTAGCGAAGCCACCGTGCCTGAAGCGATTGAACCTCGGGCCGCGCCGCTGGGTCGCGCCCGACGCAGTCGACCCCGCTGGCGACGATGGCGCACCCATGCTAAGCGCCCCCCTCTGAGGCTGGGAAACTTCTCTTCGTGGTGGGCCAATCCTTTGCCGATTCCTTTGCCTTTGCCAAGTTCTTTGCTTGTGCCAGTGCCTGGTCTCGTCGCTCGCGCGGGCCCTCCGCGGCTGTCGCGCTGGCAGCTGTTTTCGGGCGCGAGGGCGACGATCGGGTAGACGCCCCTGGCCTCGGCGATCTCCGCCGCGCGTTTCTTCGCGCCCGCGAAGCTGAGGTAGGCCTCGTCGCGCGCCACTTGGGCCTCCTCGGCCTCCCGCAGCAGCTCCTCCGCGACGTCGGCCTCCCCCTCGTGCTCGTCGCAGTCGTGCCCCTCGTCGTCCTCGTGCTCTCCCCCCTCCAGGTGCGAGTCTTCGTGGCGCAGGCATCGCTCCCAATCGTAATCGCTCGTGCAGTTCACGTCGCCCTTCAAGCTCTGTCCGACCAGCATCTTCTCCACTCGTTCCACGTCGCGCATGTCGGGCGTAGCTTCGGCCCCGCGCGCGTCGAGCAGCACTTCCTTCGCCTCCGCCGAGCAGCGGCCGCCCGCGCGTTGAACCTGGGTGGCGCCCGATGGCGGAACAGCCGCTCGCGTGAGGAGGTGACGGCCCGCCAGCGCGTCTGGGGTCTCCACCCCAACCTCCTCGAGCTTTCTGAGCTTTCTCTTGCTGCGAAGGCCGCGCAGCATCATCGCCTCCTTCTCTTGGCGAGCGAACTTGCCGAAGGAGAGGTCTGCGCGGGCTGGCAGCTCGGTCTGCTAATCGCACCTGTAGTGCTCGTCCAACACCTGGAACAACGGCCTGAAAGCCTCTTCCGCCTCTAACAAGTCCAAGTCGATATCTCCCGTAGCCTCCGCGGCCTCACCCTGCAGCGAGTTCACGACTAAGAACGCTCCCTCGCTGACTGCGGTGGTGCCGCGCTTCTTGCAACACCGCTCCAAGACCTCCAGCTTGCGTCGGAAGGCTCTATAGCCGTCGGTCCTCACCAGCTCATAGGTCGGCGCCGTCTTGGACAGGCCTGCGTCTAGGCCTCATCCTCATCCGTCCCAAGTGGAACTCTCCTGTCGGGTCCACCAGCCCTAACAGCCACTCCAATCCGTGCAGTTGGCTTCGTCGGCGTCCACGCTGCTCGGCGGGATGCCGCTGCCCTCCGCGCTGGCGTCGGCGGGAGCGGCGGTGGCAGAGGCTGCCGGCAGCCCGCCAGGCGGCGGCTTGGCCGGGGGCGGCGCGCGAGGCGCGCCATCTGGCATGGCGGCGACGGAGGAAGCGGAGAAAGTGGATCTCCGGCTCCGCTACAAATACCAACCGACGGTAGCACACGAAGTCTCCTCGGGATGTGGTCGATAGAACCGATTATCTAGATAATCGTAGCAGCTTGTGAGATACGCAACCTTTTACCTGACTCAGGGGCCCCTGAACATGTAATGGCAATGGTACAGACATCTGTGAAACAACTGGTCGCAACACATCATGCTATGCTGAAGCTACTGAACTGTGCTAATACACAAGACTACATACACAGAACTCAATATAATTGGGGTGAAATTGACACCGAGTGGGCTCTCTTCGGGGTCTCTTGAAGCCGCGTTCAAGACGTCTTGGGGCCTCCTTCCTGGGCCTTCTTGGGGCCCTCTGGGGCCATATTGGTCCCTCTGGGCAATCTTGGGGGCCTCGTGGTGCTATTTTGGGGCGGTCCGGGGGCCCTGTGAGGCTGTCTTGGTGCCCTCTTGGGCCGTCTGGGGCCCCTCTGGGTGCCCTCTTGGAGTGTCTTGTAGCTCTTGTGCCCCTCTTGGGCCGTCCTGGGCTCCTCTTGGGGCCCTCTTGAGCGCCGATTGGGCCATCTTGGAGCGATCTCGGGGGCCTCTTCGGCCGTCTCGTGCGCTCTGGAGACCGAGAAACCGAGCATGCGAAAATTGCACTGGAACCTCATGAACACGCATAATTTGTGCCTCCTGGGGGCCTCTTGGCAGTCGTCTTCGGGCCCCCTCAGGCCATCTGGGGAGCCCGTTGGGCCGTCGAGTAGCCATCTTGAGCCCGTCTTGGACCATCTGGCGCCCATCGTGGCCGTCTTGGTGCGCTCATCGGGCCCTCCTGAAGCCTCCTGGGGCCTCCGGGGCCGTCTTGGGGTCATCAGGGGCCGTTTTGGGCCCTCTTTGGGCCCTCGAGACGCAGGTTCCCCGCACGCACCTGGAGTTGCATCAGGTCCGATCAGGTCCGATTGGATTTGGGCAGCTATATGTATATATATATATATATATATATATACATATATAGATATACATATATACATATATACATATATATAGAGAGAGATAGAGAGAGAGAGAGAGAGAGAGAGAGCGAGATCCACCGCCGCTTTACTGTTGAAAATTGCCCCTCTTCCTCCGGAGCCCGGGGTCCCCCCCCCCCCCCTCCGAAATCCCCCCCCCTGCTGGACCCCCCCCCTCCCCCCCTCTCCCCTCGGCAAAACCCCCCCCTCCCCTAACCCCTCCCCCCCCCCCCCCCTCGAAAACCGGGGGGGGTCACTACGGTTCGAATCCCCCCCCCCCGCACCCCCTCCCGTCGAAAACCGGAGGGGGGGTCGCTACCGGTTCTAACCCCTCCCCACCCCCCCACTCACCGCCAGCAAACGACTCCCGGTCCCCACCACCGTCCGCGCCACATCCCCCACTGTTGTTCCCAGCGCCACTGTCCTCACCACCACTGTCCCACCTGGTTTCACCACCGTCCCTACTGTCCCCACCAGTGCTCCCACCACTGTCGCACTGTCCCCACTGTCCCCACCACTGTTCCCACCACGGTTCCACTCTCCCCACTTTCTCCACGGCCCCAACCACTGCCCGACTATCCCCACTGTCCCCACTGTCCCACTGACTCCTCCGCTGTCCCACTGAGCTGTCCCACTGTTCCCACCACTGTCCCCACTGTCCCCACCACTGTCCCCACTGTACCTCTGTCCCATTGTCCCACCGCCGTCCTCGCCACCGCCTTCACCACTGTCCCCACCACCACTGTACCCTCCACTGTCCCACTGTTTCCACCTCCCACTGTCCCCACACCAGTCCCCACCACCACCGTCCCCCCCACTGTCCACTGTCCCCACTGTTCCCGCTATTGTCCTCACCACTGTCCCCACCACTGCAGTCCCCTCCACTGTCCCACTGTCCCCACCACTGTCCCGCTGTCCCCTCACCACTGTTCCCACCGCCACCGTCCCCACCACTGTCCGCACCCCCCCTCGGTTTTCGATGGAGGGGGGGTTCGAACCGGTAGTGACCCCCCCGGTTTTCGAGGGGGGGGGGCTCGAACCGGTAGTGACCCCCCCCTTTTCATTATGAGCTGGGGGGGGGTGTCGAACAGGTAGTGACCCCCCCCCGGTTTTCCGGAGGGGGGGGGAGGGGCTCGAACCGGTAGTGCCCCCCCCCCCCCGGTTTCCCGCCAGCAGCGGTAGAACATGTTCCTTCATATATATATATATATATATATACATAAATGTATATATATACACATATATATGTGTGTATATATTATATGAATACATACATACATACATACATACATACATACATACATACATACATGCATGCATGCATGCATGCATACATACATACATACTTACTTACACATACATACATACATACATACATACATACATACATACATACATACATACACATACATATATATGTATATACACATACATACATACATATGTATGTGTGTTGTGTGTGCGTGTGCGTGTCTGAGCGTGTGTGTGTGTGTGTGCGTGTGTGTGTGTGTGTGCGTGCGTGCGTGCGTGCGTGCGTGCGTGCGTTGTGTGTGTGTGTGTGGGTGTGCGCAGGCTTGCGTGTGTGTGTGTGTGTGTGTTCGTGTGTAAGTGTATGTGTGTGTGTGTGTGGATGTGTGGATGTGTGTGTGTGTGTGTGGATGTGTGTGTGTGTGTGTTGGGGGGGGTGCGTGTCTGTGTGTGTGCGTGCGTGCGTGCGTACGTGCGTGCGTGCGTGCGTGCGCGTGTGCGTGTGCGTGTGCGTGTGCGGGTGCGGGTGTGGGTGTGGGGAGGGTCAAGCTAGCCAGCTCGAGCGAGTCAAGCATGGCATGCCCATTCCCACCCGCCCTCCCACAACATAAGAAACAGTGATGGCACAACTGGGGGCTGCGCGGGCATTTCAGTGCAAGTGGAGGATACCACATGACACCGCATTGACGTCCGCGCGGGATGTGCGCCGCGTCCCAGTCCCGCCACGCATTTCGCATCGTCGACGACAAGACTGGCCATGTTGAAAAGAACAACGGACACGTTCCACCCTCCCACAACATAAGGAACAATGCTGGCGCAACTGGGTGCTGGCGCGTAGTGGTAGTAGTAGTAGTAGTAGTAGTAGTAGTAGTAGTAGTAGTAGTAGTAGTAGTAGTAGTAGTAGTAGTAGTAGTGTAGTAGTAGTAGTAGTAGTAGTAGTAGTAGTAGTAGTAGTAGTAGTAGTAGTAGTAGTAGTAGTAGTAGTAGTAGTAGTAGTAGTAGTAGTAGTAGTAGTCGTCGTAGTCGTAGTCGTAGTCGTAGCCGTAGTAGTCGTGGTACTAGTAGCAGTAGTAGGAGTAGTGGCAGGAGTGGTGGTATTAGCAGTAGTAGAGGGAACGCCCTCCAGGGAACGGTTTTTCCCTCAACTTCGCCCTCCACGGAACGTGTTTTGGCCCCCCGGACCAAAAGGAGAAAATATCCAGGACGCAAAACTGCTCCCGAGAAAGGAGTCGAGATCTCAGAAAAGCTTGGGACAAATCCGCCGGCCCAACGGGCCAGAGGCGTGCAAAGATCTCCGGTAACTAGTTAACAATCTTCTAGTTCGCGCGCGCGGGGCGACCCCTGTGGGCCCCCGGACGAAAAATACCCCGAGCAGGTCCAGGGCCACCCCAACGGGCCAGAGTGGCCAGAGGCGTGCTAAGATCTCCGGTTTCTAATTAACAAGATTCGAGTTCGCGCGCGCGGGGCGGCCCCTGGGGGCCCCCGGACGAAAAGAACGAGCAGGTCCTGGGCACGTCGGTCCCAGCGATGGTTTTCTTCTTCGGCGCTGACTTCCAGGTCCCAGAGCGCCCCAGGAACGCCCCAAGAGAGCCGAGACGCCCCCGAGACGATCCAAGGGGCCCTGAGTTGCCGAAAGATCGTTCCAAGACGCCCAAGATGGCCTGCAGACGGCCGTAGCGCCAAGAGACCGCGGGGGGCCTCAGGAGGCCCTCCAAGAGCCTGAACAACCAAAAACCTCCCAGGCATTCGTCACCCCAGGGCCTCCTGGGACGCCCCGGCGCCCAATGAATTGGCGAGCGAAAAACGTGCGCCGAGCCAAAGCGGGAGCGCAACTTTGATAAAATTTCGCTCGGCGCCCAAGCGGGAAGGTCATTTCATTCACTTCGAGCGGGGGGGGGGGCCGCGCCCAAGCCATGCACTTTTGCGGGGTGGACGACGAGAACAGCTATGTGGGAAGGGAAAATCAACATGGCATTGCTTCTGACAAGTAAGGTGGCCCCTCCCGCCTTGGGGTTGCCCAAGAAGTCCGCGCGCGATGTGCGCCGCGCCCCATTCCTGCCACGCATTTCGCATCGTCGACGACAAGAGAGGCCATGATGAAAGGAAAAACAGCAACTCTGCATTGTTTTTCTACAATCAGGATGGGAAGGCCCGCGGCCCGCATGGACGTCCGCGCGCGATGTGCGCCGCGCCCCACTCCTGCCACGTATTTCGCACCGTCGGCGACAAGGCAGGCCATGCTGAGAGGAAATAGCGGAAACTGTGTATTGATTTGTAACAGTCAGGATGGGCGGCCCCGGATTGACGGCCGCGCGCGATGTGCGCCGCGTCCCATATGCGCGCCGCGTCCCACTGCTGCCACATATTTCGCACCGTCGGCGACAAGGCAGGCCATGCTGAGAGGGAAAAACGAAAACTTTGTAATGATTGTTTACTGTCAGGATGGGCGGGCTCAGATTGACTGCCGCGCGCGATGCGCGCCGCGTCCCATTCCTGCTACGCTTTTCGCATCAAAGCGGCCACTTTGTATTATTGTTTTTTTTTAACAATCCGGATGGGAGGTCCCCGGTCCGGGGGGGGGGGTTGCTATCGGCCGGATCACGGTTATGTGGGTATATAATAATATGAACAAGGTGTGGGTGTGGGTGTGGGTGTGGGGTGTGGGTGTGCGGTGCGCAGCTGGCGAGGGGCGAGTGCTTTGTGCGTGTGCGTGTGCGTTGGCGTGGCGTGTGCATGCGTGCGTGTGTGCGTGCGTTCGCGTGTGTGTGTGTGTGTGTGCGTCGTGCGTGCGTGCGTGCGTGCATGCGTGCGTGCGTGCGTGCGTGCGTTCGCGTGTGTGTGTGTGTGGGTGTGTTTTGTTGTGTGTGCGTTGTGCGTGTGTGTGTGTTTGTGTGTGTGTGTGTGTGCGTGGTGTGTGTGTGTGTGGGTGTGTGTGTGTGTGTGTGTGTGTGTGTGTGTGTGTGTGTGTGTGTGTGTGTGCGTGCGTGCGTGCGTGCGTGCGTGCGTGCGTGCGTGCGTGCGTGCGTGCGTGCGTGCGTGCGTGCGTGCGTTCGCGTGTGTGTGTGTGTGTGTGTGTGCGTGCGTGCGTGCGTGCGTGCGTGCGTGCGTGCGTGCGTGCGTTCGCGTGTGTGTGTGTGCGTGTGTGTGTGCACACGGCCCCACTGTCTGCTAATGCCTGGTGGGCCACCTGCACAAAACGCGTAGCGTATACGAAGGAAGAGGAAGAAGAGGAGGAGGACGACGACGACGATGACGATGACCAAAACGATGAGGGCGGGGCGGAGAACTGCAGATGCACTCCTGGCAATGGAGAATTGGCTCGTCGCGGTCCAGGGAGCGCTGACAGATGTCGCAGACGTACCCACCCTCGCACAGGGCCCTCTTCAGCAGGTGGTTGTTTGGGCACGCCTGAAAGGAGTAACACATGCATATAATTACCGCCACCCTTCCCTCGTCTTCGCCTTCCTGGGCCTCCTCGGTGAGGGCCGTCGCCCCACGTCTGGATTCGCACCTGGGTCCTGGTCAGAACACACCAACACACCCCAAGAGAAATCTCGGGAGCAGCGATACAGGCACCATGCTACCATGGGGAACGCCAAATGAGGAACGGAGAGGCCTTTCTGGCTACGGTGAGCCTCGGCCACGAGCAGGTTACCCGACCTAAACCCGGGGAGCGGCCCCAGAACCAGAGCCTCCCTCCTGAGCCCAAAGTGGTCCATGTCTCAACGCCTTGACCGTGTCGGTATCTTTCTGCTCTCCCGGGTGCCGGCTGGCGCTCCGGCGAGCCCATCTGGATGAAATGGCCACGCGAGCTCGCTGGGCTGCTCCCGCCCCGCCGTGTCTGCGTGGTGCTCCCGTGAAAGGAGTCGTTCAAGTCCTCGTCGCTGTCGTAGTCCGTCGCGCCGTCGAGGAACTCCTCCCCCGACATGGGGGGCGCGCCATCGCTAAACTCGTCCGCCGCATCGAGCGCCTGCCACCAGTCACTGCGGGACTCTCCGTACTCGGCCCCCTTCTCGATCATCAGCCTCGGGAGAGGGAAGGGCGCGCCAACTCGGTCCCCCAGCTCCGCGATCCCCTTCCAAGGAAGCAGTTTCTCGCAACCCGAGCCTGTCTTTGACGGCTTCAGACACCGGTAAGCTCGTCGTCGTCCTCCTTGTCGTCCCCGTCGTCCTCCTCCTCCTCCTCCTCCTCCTCCTCCTCCTTCCCCTTCTCCTCCTCCTCCTCCTCCTCCTCCTCCTCCTCCTCCCTCCTCCTCCCCCTCCTCGACCGCTCATCCTCCTCATACACACATTCTCATCCCCATCGTCTGCCTTTCTCCTCCCACCTCCTCATTCCGTCCATCCCTTCCTCCTCCCAATCCCAATCCACGTTTTGGTGCCTCCTCCTCCTCCTCCTCCACCTCCCTCCTCGTCCTCGCTCTTCCTCTTCCTCTCCTCCTCCTCCTCCTCTTCCCGCCACATCCTCGTCCCCCCCTCTGCTTACTCCCCTCCCTCCCCCTCCTCCTTCTCGATTCGCCTCCCATCCTCGTTCTCCTCTTCCACATCTGCACTCATCCTCCTACGCCCCGTGCAAATCCACGGCCTCCTGCTCCTCCTCCTCCTCCTCCTCCTCCT